ATTGTTTCAGCTTCAGTGAAAGTGAAATGCACAGGTTGTGTAGCATAAATTCAGCTTATTCCTTAGTACTTAAGAGAATTAAAAATGAAGCTGTAGATTACTCTACAAGTAAGATCCCTTCACATGAAACGTATAAATATATCATTCAAAAGTTGATATGTTGCTTAAATGTACAGTAAAAGCATTTTGAACTATTTTTGAAGTTTTAAAATCAATTATTAATATTGAAATATTTTGTAAAATGTCATTTATTCCTGCGAGTTTTTAGCAGTCTTCAGTGTCAGCTTCATTCTAACAGGCTGATTTGAATCTCAAGAAATTGTCTCATTTATAGGGGTGTCAAAAATAATCGTTTTTTCGGTGCACTGCGATGCAGACGCGGACAATTCGGTATCGGTTCAGTAATAATCATAACCGGTTATTACTGACGTCATTTACCTCATATGCGCTCTGTCGCGAGGGAGGCGATCGCGAGTATTTACAGCGCTTTAACTACTTAAAACTCATAAACTATGCACAATTTCACTGTGTGTGTTTGCTGGATCAGTCTTTCACTGACATATACAACAATAGCCCCTATTTCACTGAGATCGAGAGAATGAAAGTAGCCTAATCCATTTCTCTCTCTCTCTCTCTCTCTCTCTCTCGCGCGCGCGCGCGCGCACGCTCTGTCTCTCTCTCTCTTTCTCACACACACAAATAGTGGCCCATTTGACCTGCTGGCGTGGCTTTTCTTATAGCCCGGCTGTTTTACAGCGGGTGTTTTACAGCGTTACTTTTGCATCCAGAAACGAGCGCGTGTCTGCAGAGTTTTCTCCACCGTGTCTATTATACATCAGCTGTGAGATCGCCGCTGCCGCCTGCCGCTTATCAGCATCACTCATCTGTGAAGAGCGCAGCGCACAAGAACCAATCGCAACCGTTTTTTTTTGAGGGTGTGACCAATCAAAGGGGTGTAAGAGAACTAGACAAGGATCAGAAATTGAGCTGGATATTTATATTTGTCTATATTATTTGCTAAATGCTTGTTTTGTTTAAAGTTACAGTTTATATATCTGACTGTTTGTATTAAATGACAAAATTGTATTACAAATAGTGTATAAATATAAATATATTCATACATTTTAATACAAGAAATGCTGCTGTGAAGAAAATATAAAACTGTGTATGGAAAGCACCGTCAATGCACCGGGATGCACCGAAATATCGAATTGAACCGAATCGATGGCATGATAATCGTAACCGAACCGAACCGTGAGACTAGTGTAGGTTCACACCTCTACTCATTTATATATATAAATGGCTCAGATGACGGTGTCAAGGTTTCAGAAGTTTCTGATTGGCTAATTGACAACATTTCAGTTAATTGGAGACACACAGGCCCGGATTGGCTAATCGGGAGCACCGGGAGAATTCCCGGTGGGCCGGTCCGTTTTTTGGCCAATGTCCCTAGCTGCTTGCGCTCTCAGCAGTCACACTTTTTTTCATCTATTTATTTATTTGACCATAGCTTCACTCTTTTTATTCATTATTTTGCCGCAGCGCCGCTCTTCTTATTTATTTTCTTGCAGCCCCGTGAGCAAAATGCAGTCTGCAGGTAATGATGATGTAACGTTAACCATCATCATTTGACCCCAAACAGCGAATTCGAGAATTTGAATAATTAATATTAATAAAAAATACACCTGCTCAATGAAAATCAGATGATTCACTACATTACTAAATCTGACATAACTTGATCAGCAATCTAATAAGGGGAGAAAAAGGTTAAGCCATGAATAGAAAATAATACCGTGTTTTGCTGGTCACAGTCCAATACTTATTTTTTATTTCTACCAAAATAGCGCTATTATGGACCAGTCGTAAACACATTGTATTATGACACTGCCGACCTGTGTTCGAATCTCACCTGGAAAATAATTTATTTATTTTTATTTTTTCATTTTTATTGTTAAGACATATAATACTGTTAGGGCTTTTGAACATTTGAATTTCTAAAGCAGCTGTTTTCTTGAAAAAGACATGATAGTGTCATTAGAAACTGAATTGGAAATTACCTTATTTTAATATAGTGAGTCGTAAACTGAGGTGGGCCGGTCTGGCTTGAAACTCCAGGGCTGAAAATGAGTCCCACTCCGGCCCTGGAGACACTACTGTAGAATAGTATTTAAGGAAAACCTCAAACACACTGCTTCCTTGAGTGACAACATGAGGAAATCAACAAGCCAGAATCAACAACAAAGCCAGATTACAATTTGCTAAATTACACCTGGGAAAAAAAATAAATAAATTGGAGACATGTCCTGTGGTCTGATGGAACTAAGATTGAACTATTTGGCCATAATAATCAGTGTTACATTTAGAGGACAAAGGGGAAAGCTTACAAGCCTAAGAACACCATTCCAACTGTGAAGTATGGGGGCGGCAGCATCATGTTGTGGGGCTGTTTTGTTGCAGGAGGGACTTTTCCACTTCACAGCATAAATGGCATCATGAAGAAAGAACATTATGGAGAAATACTGAAGCAACATCTCAAGACATCAGCCAGGAAATTAAAACTTGGCCAAAAATGGGTCTTCCAAACAGACCATGACCCTAAGCATACTGCCAACTTAGTTAAAATGTGCTTCAAGGACAACAGAGTGAATGTTTTGGAGTGGCCATCACAAAGTCCTGAATTCAATCCTATAGAAAATTTGTGGGCAGAGTTAAAAAAGCTTGTGCGAACAAGACAGCCAACAAATCTGACCTAGTTACACCAGTTCTGTCAGGAGAATTGAGCCAAAATTCCTTCAAACTATTGTAAAAAGCTTGTGAAAGGATACCCAAAACATTTTTAAGGACTTTTTTATTTTATTATTATTATTTTTGTATAAAATTTACTCTAAAGGAGATTGGTTTGAAGTTTGCTTACAATACAAATATAGTTCCGTGAATTGTATATTTAGAGAACAAATAAACATTTGTCGCCCTTAAAATACATTTTTTTTTAACCTTACTCCTAGCCTTAAGCAGATGGTTTATCTATATTAATGTTTTTATAATCGTTGGAAGCTTAAATTGAAATCGAAAGTGAATTTCAATTAATTTAAGCCCTATACAGCAGTATTTATTACAGTTTATCAGTTCAATACTACAGTATGCTGCAGCATTCATCAGCAGATTTTTGTTAATAATCTGATATATACAGTATAATATGCTTTATTTTTGTATGGCTTAAAAGCACTGTAATATGTATTTGTTTGTTTTACTATATTGAAAAATTAAAAGTGATATACTGTACTACAGGATAAAAACCATCATCACAGTTATCAAAATTATATATATAATAATAATAATAAAAGCAGTTCATTCCTGCCACAGTGTAAGAAATGCTGGCTTCCACACAATCCCACATGTTGTTTGAACAAACAGCAAAATATAATTACAATAGAATTTTTTTTTTTTTTTTGTGTTTAAAAATGTCAAATTTAATTAATTCAGCAAGTGTTTAATCTAAACTATTTTTTTGCAGCTTCTTCAAACTACATATTGAAAATGAGCTGAAATGCCAAAATTCCAAATTCAAGTCTTAAAATTTAAACAACTTATAAAAAACATCCTATATTGTAAATAAGTTCTCATTTAATATGTCAATAACTCAAAAATGTCAGATAGAACCTTATAATTCTAAGGTGACGTTGTGTTGGGGCTACATGAAGGAATTTTGTGAAACCCTGCATTTTTCACACTGTGCACTGTGCAAAAATGTTGGACTCCACACAATAGATTGTTTTTGGGACAACATGAAGGATTTAACTTTATTTATTCTTTAATTCATTTTCATTCGGCTTAGTCTCTGATTTATCAGGGAATCACAGCGGAATGAACCGCCAACTATGGTTTTTACACATTGGATGCCCTTCTAGCCACAACCTAGTACTAGGAAACACTCATTTACTTTCACATTTACACACACACACACACACACACACACACACACACACACACACACACACACACACACACACACTCATACACTACGGCTAAATTAGTTGATTAAATTCACCTATAGCACATGTCTTTGGACTGTGGGGGAAACCTGAGCACCAGGAGGAAACCCACACAAACACTGGAAGAACATGCAAACTCCACACAGAAATGCTAACTGACTCAGCCGGGACTTGAAGCAGCGATCTTCTTGCTGTGAGGCGACAGTGCCAACCACTGAGCCACCATGCCGCCCTTTAATTTATTTATATTTACAAATTTGAACATGAAACAAATAATTAGTCACAAAAAAAAACTTAAGAATTGTGTTGTTTCAGCTCATTTTAAATAAGCAGTTTAAACAAACAGCAAAAGTATTTTTTTAGTGTGGGCAATAATCTATACAATAAACTTTTAAAACGTTACCATAATATAAATGTTTTCTTACCTGTGTTATTTTGGCAAATTTGGCTTGTTAAAAGCTATATTTAGATGCACCTTTTTTCAATAACACGGTAGTTGATTTGCAGAATTAATTAAATGAAGTCATTGCATAAAAAAAGCAGACAGCATGGGCAAATAAACAGCGCTCTCAGCCTGCAGTATTGAGTGGTGACAGCATGGACGGGCTAACAGGATCTCTGAGTAAATGAAAGCTCACAGTATCAGGGCCACAAACGGGACGGCGTGCAAATCAGGCTGTCATGCGAAATCTTAAAATGTGATTTTGGAAAGCCACAGAGATAATGAGATAAAGGCTGGAATCTGGGCTTCTGTGTGTGTGTGCGCACAAGCCACATTGTCTCATGAATATATGAATTTTTTTTGTTGGATGGCGGATGAAGACGAGTGATCACACTATTTTTTCTTGCTGTAATCTTGCAGCTCTTGTAAAAGCATAAATCTGCTTAGCCTGATTTTTCTGTGTGTATGTGTGTGTGTGTGTGTGTGTGTGTGTGTGTGTGTGTGTGTGTGTGTGTGTGTGTGTGTGTGTGTGTGTGTATATGTGTGTGTGTGTGTTTGCTCCTCAGGTCATGGAGGAGGCTGAGGTTTGTTCTCTGCCCGGAGGTTTGGCCAGCATCCGCAGACAGTTTGAGACTGAGAGCAGATCTTCAGTTCACACCGTCACCCAGATTCAACACTCACACAGAGCTGTGCAGGTCACTTTTTATTTATTTATTATTATCATTATTATTTATTATTTTTTTTCAAGGTGAGACACTGCAGGCGGAAACACACCTGTCAACATTGGGATCTAAAAATACAGAATGATAATGAATTTCCTTGGGAAAATGGGAGGGTTGAGAGTTGTTTATTTAAGTGTAACCCCGCCGGTCCTACGCCACCCAACCCACTCCGAGCTGGTATCGAATTAGTATGCGATCTTCTGCATGGGAGTCGGTTGCTCTACCAAGGAGAGTAAAGACCGTGGCCTCTAGCGTCTGCTGCTAGAGCACCTTTAGAGGTCAGAGAAGTGAGGATTACCTGCACAGCACTTACTAGCTGGCCTCCGTTACACTCACCCCCCTAAACTTCACTCCCATCCGGGTCACGGCACCAATGTAACTCCGCTGGTCCTACGCCACCCAACCCGCTCTAAGCTGGTATCGGCCCTGTGACCCTCTGCATAGGAGTCGGTTGCTCTACCAAGGAGAGTAAAGGCCTTGGCCTCTAGCATCAGTCACTAGAGCACCTTTAGAGGTAAGAGGAGTGAGGTTTACCTGCACAGCACTAACTAGCTGGCCTCCGTTACACTCACCCCCCTAAACTTCACTCCCATCCGGGTCACGGCACCAATGTACCTCCGCCGGTCCTACACCACCCAAGCCGCTCTTAGCTGGTATCAACCCTGCGACCTTCTGCATGGGAGTCGGTTGCTCTACCTACGAGGATAAAGACCATGGCCTCTACCATCTTTACTCTAGCAACTTACTAGCTGGCCCCCGTTACATAGACACCTGTAAATTTTGAGATTTTTCGATGTGGGGATGGTTAAGTGTTTCTTATGCTGCTCTTTATAAAAGTTGTGTCTGCATATATCAATTATTCATTCATTCATTGTCTTGTTGGTTTAGTACCTTTATTAATCCGGGGTCACCACCTGAACCGCCAACTTATCCAGCAAGTTAAGTTGGAGAAAATGAGGTTCGAACCAGCAACCAAGCGACCTTCTTGCTGTGAGGCGACAGCACTACCTACTGCGCCACTGCTTAGCCAAAAAATGTAAATTAGTTCAACTTAAAAATTTTAGTTTTATATTTTCATAATGATATATATATATATATATATATATATATATATATATATATATATATATATATATATATATATATATATATATATATATATACCATTCATTTATTAATTTTTCATTGGCTTAGTCCCGTAATTCATCAGGGGTCTCCACAGTGGAATGAACCGCCAACTTATTCAGCATATGTTTTACTCAGCAGATTTCTTTCCAGCTGCAACCCAGTGGTGGGAAATATCCATACACATTTATTCACACACATACACTATGGCCAATTTAGTATATTCAATTCACCTATAGCGCATGTCTTTGGGGAAACCGGAGCACCCAGAGGAAACCCACGCCAACACAGGGAGAGCATGCAAACTCCACACAGAAATGCCAACTGACCCAGTCGGGACTCGAACCAACAACCTTCTTGCTGTGAGGTGATAGTGCTAACCACTGAGCCACTGTGCTGCCCTGTTTCATAATTAGTAAATATGTGTCCAATATATTAGTTAGTACATGTCATTAGAGCAAAGCATTTCTGGTGTGTGAGAAGTGTTTACACTGTAAATGGCAATGAAATCTGACAGTCACAGTGTATGCTTTTGAATGAATGTGTACAGGATAGAATTAACTGCTAAAACTGTGCATTTGAGACGCAGTCACTTTGATTTCGACTCACTGACACGCGGCATCTGGTGGAAAAAAAAGAAATCAATGAATTTTAATACCATACTAAAGTGTCACACATCATTACACACACATCAGTTTAGTTTCCACCCAGGCAATGCATGGCACAAGTGAATTGTGACTGAACATAAAGCAGAACACACTCCTCTATTGTTTGACTTTTAGTGCCTTTGTACATTTTAAATCCCAAAACTAATCCTGGAGGTATTTCACATCCGCCTTTTGTTTTCCATTTTAATCTGCAGTTGTAACATTGAGACTTACTGGATACGGAACTAGCTTGAATGCAGTCAAGATTTCTCGGCTGATGTTTTTGTATTAGGAACAGACATAGGGCTCTATTTTGACGAAAGCACTTTGCACTTTGGTGCAAAAGCATTAAGGGTGTGTCAGAATCCACTTTTGCTATTTTAAGGATGGAAAAATCTTCTTTCCTCCGTGGTGCATGGTCTAACAGGGTTGAGCTTATTCTCTTAATCAGTTAGAGGTGTGTTTTTGAGAATAAACCAACCAGAATCTCATCTCTCCTTCCCTTTAAGGCTGCTTTCACACCTACACTTTTGTTTCGGAACGTATCTCGTTTGCCCAGTTAGCGTGGTTCGTTTGGCATATGTGAACAGGGCAATCGCGCTCTGTTCCGCGCCAAAGTAATCGCTCCGAGATCGCTTGAATGAGGTGGTCTCGGCTCGATTGAAACGAACTCTGGAGTGGTTCGATTGCAGTGAGAAAGCGATCCGATCCGAGCGCGGTTATATCACAGTGTTTTATGGATATGTAATAGGCATACGGCTATATGAAGAGAGAATTATGAGTGGGGTGGGAAGTTTCGCGAGTCTCCGGATGCCCGCAAACGAGTGATGATCTCCCGGTAATCTCGCGTCTCCCTCCCGGTCCTCAAATAGGCATCGTCACGCACCCTTCTCACCCCTCCCAACCGCGTCTCTCCTCAGACACGTCGCACGCGCGCACCCTGTCAATCACCAAACCACCACCTCTCCTGACAGCTTAGAGGGGACGCTGCAAAATAAACCCTGACACTGACCAATGTAAGGAGAGTTTACTCGCACGTGACTTGTTTTAGCTCTTTTGGTCCGTTTAGAAACTTTGCAGTGTGAAAGCGAACCGCTCCAAGAGCAAAGAGCAACAATGTAACATTTGTAATCTCTGTTTCGGAACAACTGAATCGATTCACAGGTGTGAAAGCACCCTAAGAGTCAGTTGCTTCGCTCCATAGCGCATTTGATATTTACATGGAGGACTTCGTAAGTGAACAAATCTTTACTAGCAAGAAAACAGTTAAACAGTCCATCTGCAGTGCGAGAATGAGAGATGAGCCTCCTCATTGTTTACTTTCACTTTCAGAAACATGTTGATTATTGCTAGCAACGCATTTCATGCTAGCAAAATGCTATTTCATATAAAAACATGCTAGCAAGCAAATTCATCCTCAACATGGTACGATAATTCATGCTAGAAACAAGCTTTAAATAAGTGAAGTTTATGTATAAACAAATTTCGAGAGGATCACGTGCTTATGATTGCTAGCGGCTGGATCCGCATTATCCAATTCACTACGCTCCAATCAGATGACTCCTAAACTACTATAAATACCCTGGGTTTCATTCCACTGCTATCTTCGTTTTGAAGAGTCCCCCCTTCCACCCCTACTCCTCCTTCTTAGACGGGTGACACGGTGGCAAAGTGCGTAGCACTGTCGCCTCACAGCAAGAATGTCTCTGGTTCCTGGCTTTACCAAACTAGCAGACATTTCTGTGTAAAGTTTGCACTTCTCCCCGTGCTCGCGTGGGTTTCCCCCGGGCTCCCCGGTTTCCTCCCGCCACCTAAAAACATGCAATTAAGTCAATTGAACAATCCAAATTGGCACCATAGACACGCTTCTAGTACGCAGCAGGGGAGTTCTCGAGATCTACCTGAGCTCAAACTCCCCTCCCGCCTTGAAACGGGAGGGAGCCCTGGCCTCGAGGATCTCATGAGCTCAGGGCTCTCTCCCGGGACAGCATGCCAAACAAGCTTTTATAATTAATCATCAGCTAAGTGTGAACTCTTGAAATGATACTTGTGAAACGTTGAGTAGTGTAAATTCATGTTAGCCACATGCTAAACATACAAGAACATGCTAACAATGTGTTAATTTATACTTGCTCTGTAAATTAATTCTGGACGAATGACATTCATGTTAGAAATGCTAATTTATGCTGTAAAAATGCTAACATACATGCTAATTCTTGCTGACATGCTCATTTACATTGGAAACATCCATAAAACATGATAGCAAAACTTGTTGATTCTTGTTAGCAGCATGTTTTATGCTAGCACAATGCTAATTCATATAAAAACCCATTAACAACATAATTCACCCTCAAAAGATGGTAAGCTAATTCATGCTAACAACAAGCTGTAAATAAATAGTACTTGAGAAACGTTGAAGTAAAGTGTTAATTCATGTTAGCCACATGCTAAACATACAAGAACATGCTAACAATGTGTTAACTTATACTTGCTCTGTAAATTAATTCTGGACGAATGACATTCATGTTAGAAATGCTAATTTATGCTGTAAACATGCTAACAAACATGCTAATTCTTGCTGACATGCTTATTTACATTGGAAACATCCTTAAAACATGTTAGCAAAACTTGTTGATTCTTGTTAGCAGCATGTTTTATGCTAGCACAATGCTAATTCATATAAAAACACAGTAACAACATAATTCACCCTCAAAAGATGGTAAGCTAATTCATGCTAACAACAAGCTGTAAATAAATAGTACTTGAGAAACGTTGAAGTGTTAATTCATGTTAGCCACATGCTAGAACATGCTCATCTTTGTTTTTAGCATATAAGAATCTTGGTTTTCACTTGTTTTGAGTACTTCTATATGGGACAGATTGTTTCAAATATAGATTTAGAAAGTACAGCGGTTTAGTTTTCTATAATACTGGATACTCAGCTTGTCATTTTGGGAAGTCTGCATTTAGGTATTAAACGCTACACACATGCATGCTGCATCCACGTGAGCGGAAACTCCTAGTGTGGTAAATGCGTGGACTACTAGGGTAAGATTAATCCTCTTATAGCTGACCTTACACCACAAACCCAAAATCTGACACAGTAACAAGTCACATCTGTCTCCTCTTAGATCTGCAGCCCATTAGCATTGGCACATGCTAGTATTATGCATGCAGCAGCTGACTCTAAAAAAAAAATCA